TTGGAGAAGTATTCAATTTGTGGCATTTTTCAATCTTCAAAACTTCAAGGCAAGGAAATACCTGCTCTCTGCATGTTCGTTTTTCTGCCACTGGCATCACCTCAGCTTCCGCCCACTCTGTTAAGTTAGGCATGTTCTTTGGAATGAGTCTTTTAAGTGCTGGGAACATTACTCTTGTCTCTTGGCCACCATAGAATGAAGGACATATGGATCTTACGTTAGTCAAACCGTCTAAGGTAAGATATTTGAGGAGTGGCAGGTGGCCAAACATGGGAATTTCTTCACAATTTTTGCAATTACTAAAGTTGACCTCGATCAATTTATCAAGTTTCAACCAACCGTTGCCATCAAGGAATACTTCCATTCTCATAGTCCATGATGGGAAGTTTGAGCCTCTGAACCCTTTAATTGTTATGCTCTTCAAATTCGGGTGAGGTTGGAGGCCTTCGAGGACACTTTCATTGTTGTTGCCTTTCGGGACATTCCCATCATTGTATGTTTTCCACATTAAACATAACTTATATATCTTTGGCTTTCCAACCAAATCTGCCTTCTTAGCTTCCTCTATGCCGTTCACTAGTTCAAGATTGTGTATATCCAGTTTGCCTGTAAGATTCTTCAAAAATCCTAGCTCTTCAATTCGTCAGCCATCCTTGTTACACACTCTAAAAAACGGTAATGTTTGAAGACAAGACAATTTTCCAATTTTAGGCGGCATCTGGAAATCAGAATTGTCATAAAGATTAAAGCATAGATGTCTCAAATTACTCTAGTCGCGTAGCCTTTCTGGAAGCCTTTGAAGTTTGTAGCAATGCACAAACCTTAATGTTTGCAAATTGTAGAGCTTGCAAATAGAATCTGGCAAAGTTTTCATTTTTTGAATTCCAGATGCATCAAGATATCTCAAATGTATCAACTTGCCAATCGAGGTTGGCAATTCTTCAATTACTACATACAGTAGCTTTAGAACATGAAGGTGTTTGAACCATGGAAAAATCTTGTCAGGTAAGCCTTCCCTCAAAATGATCAACGTGCGCAGATAACTTGCTCTCTCTTTTGTAAATCGTGTTTCCTCTTCAAGTAATTTCGTAGCAAGGTATCTGACTTTAGGAATGTTGTTAGCAATGTGATCCTCCACAATAGAGCTTTCTGAATTTGAAACTGAGCATGCGAGATCATGCACAAGATCATGCATCTTGCAGTGTATGATATTGCCATACTCATCCGTTACGGCCTCTTGCAGGAAGGAATT